ATCTGATCATAAATATACTTTGATAAAAGTTAAAGTCTTCTCTAAAAATATTACTTGAGTAAAAGTCTTAAAGTATCTGATATTTTTTGTACTTAAGTATCAAAAGTAAATTTCTGACACAAAATCTATTGAAGTATTAAAAGTAAAAGTACTGAGTAAAAGTGAGCAGTTATATTTTTTTAAATGACATTTATTAGGAGGTGACTTCTGCAAAAAATATATTTTCTAACAGCGTGCAGCTGTGATGGGTTGTGTACAAGCTAATATGTTGTCAGAATGGTATATATTTATACTTCTCATCCAACCACAATTAAATACACTCTGTCCAGGAGACACAATTTATCAGGATAGTATTTTTTTTAAGTAAGAACAACTCGGAATAAAATAGGAGTAATGACTTTCTACTTCTTACCTTTTTAAAAAAATGTAGTTAGTAGAAAGTACAGATAATTGTGTAAAAATGTAACGAGCAAAAGTAAAAAGTACGTTGAAAAGTAATTACTCAAGTAAAGTACAGATACCCAAAAATTCTACTTAAGTATAGTAACAAAGTATTTGTACTTAGTTGCTTTACAACTCTGGGGCAGCGAGGAGTAGTTAGGTCGAGTCGGGCAGGAAGCACCTGTTTTTTTAAATAAAGATTAATATTAGTCCAAACTCAAGACAGGAAGCTGCACAAAATTACATTTTTATTTGAGTCATTGTTCTGTTTTAAACTGGACATACACAATAAATCACATTATTTTACTAGTATTACTTCCTCTTTTAAGACGCCCCTCAAGACAAGTCAACCTGACCAATCACAGTTAGGACAAACTCCGCCCACACAGGTAACAGAGGTTTAGATAACTGTTAGTAATGTCCGGTTCACACAGTCAGATTTAAAAATTGTTCTAATTAATCATTTTCACACATTTCGGTTGATTAAATAAAAACATTAAACATTTGAATWATCCAGTTGTTGTTCAGGGATATGCTGCCATCATGCTTCTAATCTATGGTTTAAATTAAGCTCAGGATTTTCATACTGAGCCGGTCTTCCTATGTGAACATTCACATGTTCAGTACATTAGCTGTAAAAGTCCCAGACCAGGAGACCYCAGAACGTCCTCCTCTGACTGTTTGTCTCCCTGACCCAGGACTCTCCCATCAACAAGCTGCTGTACGCCAGAGACATCCCCCGCTACAAGCAGATGGTGGAAAGGTCAGCTGAGTCTGTCAGAGTTTACCTGCTGACCCGCTCTCCGTGTGTCACTGATGATGGTGTTGTTGCAGGTACTACGCTGACATCAGACAGACCATATCAGCCAGTGATCAGGAGATGAACTCAGCGCTGGCAGAACTGTCCAGGGTGGGTCCAGTCAGCTGTCGTTTCCCCCCAGGTTGTAAGAAGAGCAGAGCTCACCTGATTCTCTGTGTTTCAGAACTACTCTGGAGAACTCAACTATCTGGTGGCTCTGCATGAGCTGTACAAGTACATCAACAAGTACTACGATCAGGTGTGTATCACCGCTTCACACAGACCCCATGTCTGCTGGAACTCTTTCATTAGTCAGAGGAAACAAGGTTCARTCTGTAACAATCAGCAAAGCTGATCAGTGTTCACCTCTTACTGTTCTGTTTTAAATTCTATGAACTTGTCTTCCTGCAGCTTTAGACTAAACTAATCGAACCAGAGGTTTGTGTGAGGAAAGCTTTTACAACAGAACACTGTAGATCAGGGGTGGGCAGTCCTGGTCCTGGAGGGCCGCAGCCCTGCATGTTTTACATATTTCCTGCTCCAGCACACCTGATTCAGMCACTGAATTACCTCTTCATGTTCTGCTGTATGGAGGACCAACACTGACATCATTAGAATTAAAAGCAGAAACATATAAATGAACCACTAAATAAATAAATACGTTTAAATGCACCAAATAAATTAAAAAAGAGCTTAACCTCAAGTTTTATCATTTAATTCAC